CTGAGGATCCCCCCGGCGACAGGGGCGGTAGCAGCAACGGCAGGCGCGGCGGCAGCAGCACCCGCAGCAACCCCCTTGGAGCGGGCCCGCGCCCGGGCAGTGGTGGACTTCTGGGCGCGCCTGCGCTCCTTCACGGCGCTGGGCACCCCGTGGAGAGGCTGGGACAGGGTGGGACCCGACCACCCGATCCTGTCGGTTTCAGAAGGCGCACTGCGGTGCACCGAAGCGGTGGAGATTATTGCCTAAGAGCGCTTTGAGCTTAGTTTGTAGGGCAGGGCTCGGGGGGGTATAGGAGTTCGAAGGGGATGGGGGTTGGAGGACGAGGGAATAGGTGAGAGGGAACCCCAAGACGGGAGAGGAAGAGGAGAAGGACGGGGAATGGAGGCGGTCACGTCGTGCAGGGAAGAACCCTTTTTCTTCCCTAGTGCCGCTCCGAGGTTGTAGGGTGCTGGAGAGCCGGGGGGAGGGGGGGTCGCTCGGACAGGGGAGGGGGGAAATGGCGGTGAGAGCGCCAAAAGGACGTAGGTTTTCTGGTGTTTGGGAGGTTGAGGTCTGGTGGTGGTAGCGGGGCTCGGATGAGGGGGAGATGTGGCCCGAGGAGGGCCATTCTATTTAGACACGTCTTCTCTGTGGGACTGGGTTGCTTGGTGAGGGACGAGGGTGAGAGCGGTGCAGTACGAGACAGGGTGAATAGGTTTCCGGAGGACCAACCGTTCAGGTTAGTGGCGGTAAGGGGGAGGCGCCGCGCGGGCTACAATCCTCCCCCTGCGGTTTTCTGGAGGGTCTAGGAGCTGTGTGTCGTGGCAACGCTAACGCTTTTGTGGTTTCGCCGGACTATCCCGGGCCCCTGCAGTGGTGATCAGGCTTGTGCGGGATCCCTTTTCTTTATAAGGCTACTTCTCCCCTGGACCAGCCCAGGAAGGGACAGGTGGTGGAGGTCAGGTGTTTTAAGGTGGTTGCAAGACGTCTTGTGGTGTCGAGCTCTCTTAGCCTTTCTCTCTTGGAGGTTTTTTTGTTGGCCTGTTAGGTATATCAGGAGCCCTCCCCTGCCGGGACTGCCCTAACCGAATTTTTGTTTGTTTGTTTGTATTCCCTTCGAATCCCGTTTTCGTTGGTGGTATTTTGGGGGGTTGTTTCAGAGAGCCTTTGACTTGCCCTAGCTGAGACTTGTGGACTCGCTGTAGCGAGA